GAAGGAGGAGAGGAGGAGGAGGAGGAGGATCAAGAGGATGAGGAGCAGGAGGAGGAGGAAGACCAGTGGAAACCCAAGAGTCATCAACGATGTTGGATTTAACCCTCCCTTCAAGCTCCCTCTTTCATAGACCCCTACAACGGTTCATTTCCATTGCGGGAACTGCCTCGTTGGATGACAGCTGCTTGAGGATCCTGAAGCGTGCCAAAACATTGTCCTCGGGATTGCAACGCCACGTATCAACCTGACTGCTGCGTCTTGACGATCCAGAATCGTGCCAGAAAGCCATGTTTGGGACTCCTCAGCGAATCAACACAACTATTACGCCCGCATAATCCTGAACCCTTCCAAAACAACTTTCCTGGTGCTTTGATCATGGGCATAAGTGAAACTCTTGTATTTCCCAATCAGTGCTTGCACTGAAGGGGTCATAGCGGGAGTTGAAGGATTTGGCGAAAGTTTCCCGCCGATTTTGGTGGCAGGCTGGGTTCCCGGGTTCCCGGGTTCCCGGGGGCGTGACCGATTTCGGAGGGCGGCGAGGTTCCCGGGTTCCCGGATTATTGGTCGATCTTCTGATCGATCGATCTCACCATCGATCTCATTACCGATTTCTCGATCGATCTCACCATCGATCTCACAATCGATCTCACGATCAGTCTCACAAGCGATCTCACTAGAGATCGCATGAGCGATCTCGCGATTGATCTCACTATCGATCTCATTGAATCGATTGAATTATCGGTCTCACGATCGACCTTACAATCGTCCTCACTATCGATTCCACGATCGATCTCATTATCGAACTCACAATCGATCTCACGATCCATAGTATCAATTTTCGAATCATCCACTGATTGGGTTTTCCCTGGTGTAATTTGTAACAAAAATAGAGGAACATGTGCGCGGCGCTAAGGCGAGAGCCGCATTTTGAAAAGGAACCGCCCTCAACCTGTGGAACTCTTGCAATGTTCCAAGACGGATGTGCGCGGCACTAAGGCGAGAGCCACATTTCGAAAACCATCCGCCGTCAATACGTGAAACTTCTTGCACATGTTTAAGACGAGTGTGCGCGGCGCTACGGCGAGAGCCACAGTCTGAACACGACCCGCCCTCAATCTGTGAAACTCTTGCAAATGATTAAGACGAGTGTGCGCGACGCTAAGGCGAGAGCCACATTTTGAAAACCACCCGCCCTCAATCCGCGAATTCTTGCAAATGTTTAAGACGAGTGTGCGCGGCGCTAAGGCGAGAGCCACATGTTGAAAACCACCCGCCGTCAATCCGTGAAGCTCTTGCATTTGTTATAACGAAAGTGCGCGGCGCTAAGGCGAGAGCCACAGTTTGAAAGCAACCGGCCCTCTATGTGTGAAATTGCTGTCACTTAAAATGTTTCCGAGTCATAAATCGTGAGGGATAAGCAGGCGAAACGCCCGGCCCGCCCTAAAAATTGGCTTCGGGATGCGACAGGGAGGAGTTATCTAGAATGGAGGAGGAGGCGGAGGAGGAGGAGGAGGGGGAGGAGGAGGCGGAGTAGGATGAGGGTGCGGAGGAGGAGGGGGAGGAG